ATGTGACTGCAGGACACTGGGGAAATGGTTCTCTTCCTGATTTGTGGACTCAAGCTGATCATTCAATTACTGAAGTCACCAAGCAACGAGGTTCTGACGAGCATTTGTGCCGTCATCGCCAAACTAGCCAAAGACAAGGAGATCCTGGGCGTCCTCTCTGATCGCGGGGTTGTCCCGCTGCTGGCCGGGCTGACTAGCACAGTAAGAACATGTCACTACTGACAACAAAACAGCTTTTACTGTCTGAATACCAAGATTCTGTCTGGTTTACAGTCAGGTTGAAGTTTAGCTGGTGTTTTGCTTCCAGTTTCTTCAGATATCAGCTGATCAGGAGGATGTTGGTCAAAATTTTCTTCCTGTTCTCTCTACAGACCGATGTCAGACTCCGCTGCCACCTGGCTGAGGCCATCGGCCACTGCTGCACGTGGAGCTCCAACAGGGCATGCTTTGGTGAACATAAAGCCGTTGGCCCTGTGGTTCATTACCTGGAGTCGAACGACAGTTCACTCCTCCTTAACACAACCATGGCCCTGTACCAACTGTCCAAAGACCCCAACAACATCATCACCATGCATAAGGAAGGAGTCGTCCAGGTCAGTTGGGCTTCCTCTTTGACTGGATACCTGCGTCTTCATTAAGTCCTTATTCGTTGCTCACTTCCAGTTTCCAGTCTGTTTCACAGTCTTGAAGCTAATTTTAGCATAGCTGCATTGAGGAAAATGTGCTTTGGTCTCCTGCCGCCCTTGTTTCAGTGATGTGTGAAAAACACAGAGTAATAAACTTTGAGAGGCCGAGACTATTTTCAGAGCCTTTGACCGATGGAGCAGAAACAGTCGGTGGAAACAAGTCTCCACTTTCTAGCCATCATGGGAATTGAGAAAAGCAAACAGCTCAGTGTGTGCAAAGTGTCAACCCTGCACTGGACCCTAGATGCCATTGCAGCACAAGGCAAATGACTGTAACTGGGGGCAACTGTTGCTAAGGGCTGTTGCTGGACCTCAGGGCAGAATGCAGCAGCAATATGTTTCAGACCAAGGACTGATGGAGAAACGGCTGAGAGCTGAAACCCATCCATGGTTCTGTTTATTTTCCTCACAGTTGGTTACATCCACCAGCCTTTTCATTGAGGCCATCATGTCTTCCAACTAGGAGCTCGTTCTGTATTTTCCTGCTCAACTCCACACACTCTATTTGTGTCTCACAGTAAAACAGATTGAACGTTAAGACGATGCTGTGACTGAAGTCTTGTTATGAAGGATAAAATGTTCATGTTTCAGCATGTTGGTAAATCCTTTTCTGTCTGATCCTTTCATTAAATGAGGTTTTACAGAAAAACTACCACATAAAAATCCATCTGTGACCACAAGTGTGTGAAACTGCCTCCCAGTACCAACTGGACTCTAAACTCGGAGCTGGTTCTGCAGCTGAAGCCAGATGTTCCCATGTTCATTGAACTGGTTTACTTGAACTCAGAAGCAGCCATGATGGTTCAGCTGAACTGAACCTCTAAGAGTTCAACCCAGTTTACAAAAGCTGCTGAAATCAAATGAGCTGCAACAAAAACTGGACCATTCCGTTATGTGTCTATATTAGTGTGAAACACTCCTCCTTTTTGGTGCGTGTGTGTGTGTGTGTGTGTGTGTGTGTGTGTGTGTGTGTGTGCGTGCTTGTTATTAATGTGGCAGCTCACAGTTGCAACACTTCGCCATGAGGTATTTTTGGACTTTAAAGAGCTTAATCACCAAAGACCTTGTAGCTGCAGCAGCTCAGCATTTTATCTGAATGTCAGACATGGAAACACAACACAGATCGCCTCATTGGTCAGATCGAACTTCACCTCAGCTCTTCTGAACACGGATGCTGATACTAACCTGTCTGAGTCCAGAGGAAACACTGTGTGGGAGCTTGTCCGTCTC